GGCGCAGGGCTGCGCCACGGCGGCCGGGCGCGGCCCGGCCCGCGGTCTGCGTACAGATGTTGACATCAGTAGGATAGTATACGTGGCAGGTCTATCTTCGGTTGCAATGCATGTTGACATTCAGTCGGCATTCATGAGGGGCATAAGGCAGTCCAATTGGCATAGCATAGGTATTTTTCCAAATTTTACGATCTAAGTTGGTGCAGATTTGAAATGGTCTTAGGTCTCGGCATATAGCTTCTGGAATTGTCGCCTCAGATGACGACACAGATCTGAGCAGATTATCTCCAATGCATATGCTTTTCATGCTATTATCCATTCAAGTCTGTAAGTGTGAATATGACACCATCATAAAACTTCAAAGCCGACAGCCAAATTCAATCATACGAGCTGACCACATTTTGCATACGCCGATGATTCCGAACAACATGCAATAAAAGCGGCGCCACTTTCCTAAGTTCGTCTGGACTCCGGGCTGCCTAGCTTTTGTTGGCCTGTCCCCCTCGTCCGCTTATGATTATGCGGCGACAGGGGTCGACTCAACAATCCCGACCCCTGTCGCCGTTGTGACTGTAGTCAACTACTGTTGATCAACAGACTGTAGATTGTCCCTACAGGCCACCAAACTGGCAAAATTTTGAGTTTGTTGGCTTCCGGCCTTCCAAAGTTCCATCCGGTGGCCTCTTTCCACAGAAGGTTCACAGGCTTGCAGCGCTGTTAACCATGGCGGAGGACCATGTTGAAGCTGGGTCTTCTACCTTCTACGTCTACCTGGTGGTGATCGCCCTGCTCACGCTCATGTCAGGTCTCATGAGCGGGCTAACTTTGGGGTAGGTGGTTTGGGTTTGGCATCATGAAGGATCAATTGCATCCTTGCTGAGGCCAGAAAATTTTGAAAGGGGCTTTCCAAAGACTTTGGTTTTGTGCTTCTTTATGATGTGGCCTGAAGGCGCCTTAGGATGAGTTCAGGATTCTTTGGGTTTCTCAATCCTGCAATGCAAGCTGCGGAAGGTAGCTAATTAGCAGGGCAACTGTAGGAATTCCGCCTGCATATCTGCTCCCCTGCACTAGCAAGCAAAACAATCCTCTCACCAGCTCGAGTTGCCATGACACTGACCAGGGTAACCAAATTGCGGTGCCACATAACTCCTCTAAAACGAGTTTTGTTCCGAAGGTCGCAAGGTTCTACTCTGGATATGAATGCGCTGCCTACAAGGGAGCTCCTTCACAATTTCTGGTTCTTTGTATCTCGGCAGGCTCATGTCCCTGGGGCAAATGGAGCTGGAGGTTTTGAAACGATCGGGGACTCCTCGGGAAAGGAAAAATGCAGGTTAGTTTCAATGCTCTACAGTTTCTGCTTTCTGCTTTTAGAACAGCTACATGCAAAATTACTGCTACTGAATGTATTGACAGCATCATCTCTCCTGGTCAACAGATAGTGCCGTCATCAGCACTTCTCCTCTAAATGCATAAGTGCTCTTCGACGCAACACCGGAAGTGAGAAACATGTAATAATGTTGAATCAGGGATAGCAGTAGCATCCATCTGATCAAACATGTGAAGATTCTGAAGTCAGTGCATGAGGTCGCTCTATGACTATGTACAGAAGTCATGCATCAAGAGTTTGTAGAAGGCTTAGGACCTTCCAATGCAACACCGCAGACTGCTATGGGTGCTAGCGCGGTACCCCTTGCCACGTGCATCCTCCCTGTGGTCAGCAAGCTGCTCTTTTAAAATCAGCAGCACTACTGTGAATGTCAATGCCACAGCAACACTCATACGATACTGCTTTTAGACACATGGTTCGTGTCCCTCTGGCAGCATGACAGAGAGACAAATTAAGTTATAAGTATTCCACCTCGTGCAGCGCGCATCATCCCAATAGTCAGCAACCAGCAACAAGAAATTGCACCAGCCTGGTTCTTGTCTCAAGAACCGCATCACATAACTAGAAACTAATCAGAAAGGAGTATTGCCCCCTGGCATCTAGACAGAAGGACATTTCTTTAAAGTGAGCAATCCCCCACTTGCAGCGCGCATCATCCCCATGGTCAGCAACCAGCATTTGCTCCTGGTGACGCTCCTCATCTGCAACGCGGCGTGCATGGAGACACTGCCTATCTTTCTTGACAAGCTGCTGTCTCCGGTTTTCGCCATTGTCATCTCGGTCACGCTCATCCTCTTCTTTGGCGAGGTGAGGCCCAAGCCACAGATGAGATGCTAAGGGTCCCCATTTTGTTTGTGCCTTTGTTCGTGAGTGGTTCTCTATGAAGAGAAAGCCTGTTGGGAATGTGAAAGTGAAACTAGCTGTAATCCTGGTGTTTGGCAGAGTGAGGCCAGGTCTAAGAGCCATTTGCTGCTTGTCTCATTCTGCTGGATGGATGTGCCCTGCGTAATTCTGCTGTTAGACCAACAACCATGATCCTTCTTTTGACTGGCCAGGTCACTGCAGGTCTGCATTTTCAACTTTGTTCTTACCACTCAATCCCGGGGTTGGAAGACATCGCACCAGGCCTCCTCTTGACTGTTTGCTTAGTGCACTGATATAGTTGTCTATATCAGTGGAGCAGTGAGGGAGAAGTTGCTTTTTAGTGCGGCTCTGCGAGCGAAATTGTGGCCGATGAACAATGGGCAGGGGAGCATTTCAAGACGCCTTTCCGTTGCCACTCTGCCTCTCTCTCTCAGGGATCTGCAACTGCTTAACAACACCTCTTTTGTTTGTTCCTGCAGATTATTCCCCAGGCAATCTGCTCCCGCTACGGGCTGGCCATTGGCGCGAAGATTTCGTGGTTTGTGTGGACCCTCATGGGGCTGTGCTTCGTCATTGCGTGGCCCATCAGCAAGGTAAATGTCCTCTAGCATTGGTCGTTGACAAATATTGGCAAGGTGAAGTCAACTTTGACTACAAGAGAACCAAGGCACTTGGCACAAAGCCGAGGAAAATATGGGAGAGACGTGCTTTTGAAGACCATCTGGTCTTAACAACTGGAAGACTGTACAGTACAGTTTGATCAGGCGGCCTCTGGGGCTTCCTTATTATCTCCTTCCTCTCTGCATAGCTTCTTACTGAGACACAGATTCCTGTGTGGCTTTTGCACCAACTCTCTTTGGTTGCCAATCGCTGGGCGATGGCAAGTACACCTTTTGTGCAGAGGTTGAGGTTTGTCGATTGATTGGAAGCAGACTAAAGAAGGAAGCTACTCAAGAAATTGACCAGATTGTTAAAAGCTTCGAGAATCTCTATAATCTCTTATTAAAGCAGAGCCGCGAGCGCATTGTTCAGGCTGGCAAGTTTCGAGTCAGTGCGATTTCGATCTAGATGGCAGTTGTTCGACTAAGTGCTGGGCCACCACAAGACGGGTAAAGCCGCGGTTCCTGGTCCTCCTTCCTGTCACCTTCTTCACGTTCTTTTTCTCCCTATTTGCGATGTCCGGCGAGTTCTGTGCAGTTGCTGGACTATTTGTTGGGCCACAACAAGACGGGCCTGATGCTCTGCAACCAGCTCAAGGCTCTCGCCAAAGGCGCTCGCCACCTCCTAACCTCCCCTTCTTCTTTCTTTTTGGTTTCTTATCCTCTGACGCTCCTTGTGCAGTTTTTGGAATCTTCTGACGTTCCTTGTGCAGTTGCTGGACTACTTGCTGGGCCACGACAAGACGGGCCTGATGCCCCGCAACCAGCTCAAGGCGCTCGCCACATCCTAACCTCCCCTTCTTTCTTCTTTTTGGTTTCTTATCCTCTGACGTTCCTTGTGCAGTTGCTGGACTACTTGCTGGGCCACGACAAGACAGGGCTAATGCGTGCCACCAGATGAAGGGGCGCTTCTTTTGCTCTCCGCACTTTCTACTCTTGACCACAACTACTCTTGGTCTCTAGTTTTGTGTTCAATATCCGGCGGACTTCGTGCAGTTGTTGGATTACTTGCTGGGCCACGACAAGACGGGCCTGATGCGCCGCAACCAGCTCAAGGCCCTCGTGTCGATCCACAACCAGGACGCGGGCCAGGGGGGCGAGCTCACAACCGACGAGACCACCATCATTTCGGGCGCCCTGGAGCTGGCTGGCAAGGTGCGCCGATCGGACTGAGTCGTTTCATACTTTACGCTTCGAAGAGGCCTGTTTGGTTTCGCGCTAATTGTCTAAGAAAGAAGTCGTCTTCAGGTTTGTCTAGAAAGAAGTCGGCTTCTGAATGAACGCTTCGCCGAACATGCTTGGTTCCACTTTAGTGGACTGAAATTTCGAAGTCGGCGGCGAATCGGGCGATCGATCGGACATGTTTGAGTCAACATAAGTAGAATTGGGAGAAAGGAGGTCGGCTTTTGGTAAGACGTTTTTTAAGGAACCCTCCGACGTTCCACACTCGTGGGACTGCAGGAATGAAAGTCAATCCTTCCGTAAACTATTTTTTTTGACACACTGACGTGGCTGCCGTCGGATGCTCAGAAGATGCTCTATATATTCAAGACCCTGCGCTTTGGAGACTTTGTCCTTCTGATGCAGTTTGTGGTCGAAGAAACCCGGAATTGTGCACAAAAACAAGCGTTTTTGGGGTCAGGACGATTGTCTATAGTGTTTCTTGAAGGATTGAGAAAAGCGAAGCTTTGTTTCGGTATATGGACGTTCCGCTGCTCCAAGTCTCCACGATCTGGAGTAGTGGACAATTTTGAAATTTTGAAGGTCTGAATTGGCAGAGTGCATGGAGGGCCGAAAGCCGCCCGAATGCGTTCCGCTACTCCGACTCTCGACGATCTGGAATAGAGGACGATCAGGAAACCATGCAAAACCTCTCCATTATTGTTACATTCGAATGTCCTTCTACTTCTCCCGCAGACGGCGGGTGAGGCGATGACGCCCATTGAGTCGACGTATGCGCTGGACCTGCAGTCGCACCTGGACTGGGACACCATGTTCAAGATCCAGTCCACGGGGCACAGCCGCATCCCCGTTTACTCGGGTTCGCCAACCAACATCATTGGCATCCTGCTGGTGGGTATCTCAAGAGATTGCGTCCGCTAAGTGTTCTTGTTACCTTTTTCGACGGCTGGTTTCGCAGAGTCCAGTTCAAGCATGCGGTCAGCTCTTCTCTATGCGAAAGCAAAGCGAAGCGCAGCTGAGTGAGTTTTTATCCTTCGCTCGTTGATTGATACTTCGCTATCTTGATGAGCAGACATGCGACCACTATTTTTCTTTTTCTCGGTTTCTGAGCTCTGCTAAGTGTCGCTCACAGGCTGTACAACATCTGCTTGCTCAGATGCTGAGAGCTGACCTCACTATGCTCTTATCTGCTGCAAAGTGAACATGCGTCCGTGCTTCTCGAGAACCTAATTGCAGATTGCTGGGGCTTTCTGCTTCGGTTTGTTCCTCGACATCACTCGTCATGAGTTCTTGCCTTTATCGTAGGTGGTCCCATCACCAAACGCAGAACCACCAATCCTTCTGAAAATCGGCGACTTTCAATTTAGCGCCTGTCAAGTGCGCATTTTAAGAACGAATATTGCTTGGCATGCCGTTCCCTATTTAAGACTTCTGCTCCTGAGTCCAGGCCCCTTCTTGATGTCTTCTAACTTGCGCAAGTTGAACCCCCTTCCCGCAGACGAAGAATCTGCTGACGGTGCGCCCTGAGGAGAAGACCCCCCTCTACAAGCTGCCCATTCGGCGCATCCCGCGCGTGACTGAGAGCATGCCGCTCTTCGACCTCCTCAACGAGTTCCAAAAGGGTCATTCGCACATGGCCATCGTCGTGCGGTGAGAAGGCCCGTCCCAAAGCGTTTAGTCTTCTCAACTGTCGTCCAATAAGTCCTGGTGTAAGTTTGTCCGCTTCCGACAGGTTCTGGCTGGGCACACGCCGCATTCGACTTCCTCGACGAGTTTCAAAAGGGCATTTCCACATGGCAAAAGTGCTAGGATTTGTGACCCTTGAGTGTGTCCAGCCAGCTGGTTTTGCTTTTTGTATCATGTGCGTCTGCTTCGTTGGATGCTGGCCGAGAGCCTGCCGCTCTGTGACCTCCTGAGCGCGTTCTAAAAGCCGTTTAGACATGGTCATCAGTGTTGGCTGACGGACGCTCGTTCATGTTCGCGCACGCGTGTGTCCGAAATAGTCCGCACGGACCTTGTGGGAGTCCCAATGGGATTCAAAGCTTGTATGCTGTCGTCGATTTCCGCGTGCATTACCATGCCAACAGGTGCGCGGACGCACTCCCCGGTTGCAGGGGAGGACTCTCTTTCAGTGCCACTCTTCACGCTTGCGTTTACTCGTGGTTTCAACTCCTGGGATCTTCTTTTACAAGTTTCTTCCTTTTTGCACAGGCATCGTGACAACACCGTCCCGCGCATGGCCCCCAAGTCCACCGCCAACTCCTACATCCGCAGCCACAGCATGAACCACGTGGCAGCCGCTCCGAACGCCCCGGTCGCCCTCGACCCTTCTTCCCCGCCCGTCAAGCGACCTCCCCCGTTGGACGCGGCCGGAAACAGGCTCTCGGTCCGAGTCCCCAGTTCGGACAGTCCGAAGTCCGCCGAGCTCACGCGGAAGAACAGTTATAAGAGCGTGGAAGTTCTGGACGTGACCCGGTTGGTGCCCGGGGGAAAGATTAGTGTCGAAAACGGCGACCGGGAGAGTCAACCGGGGTTGGATCCGCTGCCCGAGGACCAGAAGTGCCGCCCAGGAAGCTCCAACCAGTCAAGTCGAACGTCGCGATGGCGGGGATTCTGGGCCCGCTGCTCGGCCCGGGTTTGGAGGGTTTGACGGAGGCGCAGCGCGCGGCGCTCCCGCCGCAAGAACCGGGGACCGAGGCGGCGGTCCTCAACACGCCGCCGATAACCGTTGCTCAGGCCGTAAGTAACTCTCCGGGGGCTCTGGAGTCGGGCGTTATTCACCCCCCCGGGGCAGCGATTGGGAGCGTGGGGGATCCCTCTGTAGAAGGGAGCGGAAAGAGTCGGCACGGGGCGAAGCGGTGGAATCACAACACGCAGAGGATCGAGGACTTGGACGGAGAGCTTGCGATGTGGGCTGCACGGGACGAGGAAGTGGTTGGGATTATCACGCTGGAGGACGTGATTGAGGAGCTGCTGCAAGAGGAGATTATCGACGAGACGGACGAGTTTGTGGACGTTGCCAACCAGTGAGTAATTATATTGCGCATTTCTCTCTGGGCGTCCTTATCGTTTCTTAGCAACCACGAATAGATACGAGTGCCGTACAGTTCGTATGAGCAGTTGCTTGCAGACTGGGTGTTGATGACGTTGAAGAGCTTGTGAAGGAGCAATCCGAAAGCGTGACTTCAGGTTTCGACTGATCTGAAGTGTCCGGCAACTCTTGTGAAGCTCTCCGAATGTGTCCGGAGTGACCGTAGGTCACTACATGGTGTCTGCTATAATCCTGGTACTCGCTCAGAACTTGGGCGGAGTCATGATTTTACTGATGGCAATCTTTATTCCAACGCACGGATCTGACCAACGCGGTTGATTTCTCGTAGCTTGTGAGTCGTCCTCTTCTTTCTCAACGCTGTGAACAAGCTCGGTTGCTTAAAGCGGGCATAAGAAATACTTTGTCACTTTCCTATCGGTGCCGTTTTAAAGTCTGCTAGTGCTTGCGCATCCCGCTTGTTACAAACGGCCCTCGAAACGCCAAATGTCAGTACTCCAAAGGTTGCTTTTCGAGTAGCGTTTGGCCTTCGCTTGCAGGATCCGCGTGACCCGTACGGCGATGGCGAAGCACCCGATTGGCGCGGTGCGAAAACTCATGCGGCCTTCGTCGCCCTCACGCGAGGTAACTTTTGCTTAAGGCCGTTAGCTTGGTCGCATCTCGTTCACGATGGTTTGGTTCTTCGTGTCAGTCTGGACTAGACCGCAGCATAGATCAGTGCATGTAACCTCGCATCTGCTCTGCCCTAATAGCAAGGCTGCAAATGTTCTTTCCTCAAAAAAAATTGTGGGGCACTGGAGTACCCTGGTCTTAAACAGAGGATCCGCAGCACTCCGAAGATTGACACTCAAACACGCTTTCAGGCCCCAACACATGCATGCGCTTGCTATTATACAGCGTTTCTCTTGGGCTAGGGCGAATCCCCTTTGCTGTGCGTCGAAACTCTTGTGAAACAGGGCTCTAATCTCGCTCGAAAATGTCGCTCCTGCGAAGTGTCTGCTGTTTGCTACTTCGCTCGCCTTCCTTACAGCTTGCTTTGCGGTTTCTAAAAGAGTCTCGTAACTCTTTTCCTGGCAGACGGACAGCCCATCAAGAGTTGACTCCACTCCGCTCAGTCAAGGGGATCCCTCCCATGTTGCCCTGAATATTGATTCTTGACGGCAGAAGTGGTGCAACCAGTTAGAAAGTAGGACATTAATCTCAGGGTTTCCAGGACGCATGGTCCGCGTACTGGCCTTGTGAGCTTATTGCCGTAGGATACTAGTGAGTAGCTAGAGACAGAATTGGTTTCCTGTGACATCGCATGTTGAGTTGTAGATTGACAATGTTCACGCCGCTGCAAGGCGGCTGGTGTCTCTGCATGAGACTTGAATCAGGTACGAGGTAGAAAGGAGTTACTCACTTACAGCTTTCAGTGAGTTGCGTACACATACGCTTAACGATCACATTTGGACGGCACGCATCACTTATAGTACCATCTTTGATTCCGCAAGATGAGATTCCTGGCGGCTGCTGCTTGCCTCATGCCCGGCATGTAGATGCACGGCCGCGCCGCCTGCCTGCCCGTATTAGTGACTGGTCCAGACCATGGGTTTGCATGCAGTTAGATAGATGTTAACCATACAATCAATCAAGCCCAAAAGTCGGACCGCGCGTTTAAGCCATGTACTTAGTCTATCTGTTAATTTTGTGCTTAGTGCAAGGCCCGCGATCAAGACGCATCCTGCGCCAGTACACGCACACGTGCATGCGGGGCCAGAGGCATATCACATGTGGATATACTCCCTTTGAATCATGGATACGCTGCACCGCCGCGCTGCATGAAAACTACCAATGGAGTTTTTAGCGGATAGTGCAGGCTCTGGCTAGCTTAGAGTTCTTGCGGCACCCGATGCTATCGTTATACTGAAGACGCCAACGACTTCTACAACATTGAGCCTCGGCTCCAGCGCACTCCAATCCACGGCCCAAGAAGGCCAACAGGCACCCTTTTCCTTCCCTTGGACCCCGCCAGCTTCCCATACTCTTAGCCTCTCAGTCTGCTTGGCTCCTGGCAAACGACACGGTCACATAGATGGCATAAGATGCAAAATTCTGGAGTCATCCGGGGTGGAAGACGGCTGGACCTTCAGTTGGAGGGTACCGCCAAGGTGCAAAGCCTCGTCTCGCCAATCATCTCCTGGGTCCGGGTCTATAAGGCCGTCGAGAGCCCCACTCCGGAACCGTGTGACGGGCAAAGTGCCGTGGGCGTGATCTCGCGCTTCTAGTTCGAAGAGCTCCAAGCTCAAGGCACCGCAAATGCAGCCGGGCCTTACACCTTGCTCGTTGCTATGAATATTATGATGGTGTTTATCATGCTGTAAGTCGGGCGTGCAGCGCTGTTCCCTTGCCTGCACTACTGGCTTCTTGAAGAGCTCAATGGAGTAGACTGGCTGCAGCTCAAGTCCTAGCATCCTTAGGCAATGCTCCTGAAAGACTCGCCCCCGAAACTCGTAGACATCGCTTTTCCTCAAGGATGTGCCAGCATCGTCTGATTGGATGCTCCATAAGTGAAGGCTTCCTTGCAGTCTGACTAGGATCAGGAACCGTCTGCCTAGCACAGCTCTCAAACTTGCATCCTCCGTACTGACAGCTTCTCCGTCCACACCCTTCCATTCAAATATGCCCCTCGGATGGCTACATTCAAGGCGACTATATGCATCAGCCGCCTTCTGCGCGGCATACTGCGCCGCCACTAGCTGTCTGTAGCCGCCTAGGGATAATTGGATCAGTGCATCCAGCTTCGCGCTCTGTTCTTGACACTTCTGTTTGTCAGAGCCTTTGATCCTTGAGCCATGGAACACATCCTTCCAGATTTCAGCTCTGGTCACGTCTCGGTGGAGGGCCTTGTTGGCGCAGGCTGCGTGCAGCAGGGAGGGCAGGTCTTCGACTGCCAGCTTGTGAAAGATTATCAGCAGGATTTCAGTTGGAAGATTCTCCATGGCAGCCATGGCGCGCTTATAACTACTTCAATCTTGACGCTTAAAGTTTGCGTGGGGTGCGGGAGCAGCTAGGAATCGCGCCAGATGGAGAGGTTTGGGTGATGGGCGCGGCGCGTCCGGCGCGATCGCGCGCGCGCAGTGGCATAGCAATGCAGCCTGGGCTTCGCGGCCGCTACCCGATGCGGCCGCCATCGTGGCTAAACCTCTCTAGCCGCGGCGGCGGCCGCCGACTCTGCCGTGCCGCTCGATTGAGTCTGTTTGCAGAGCTGTCAAAAGTACTGGTAAGCGGTAGCGCCATGGCGGCTGTAGAGAATCTTCCGAACGAGCTCCTTCTGGTGATTGCTCGCAAGCTTGCAGCCCAGGACCTACACTCATTGCTCAGCGCCAGCTGCGTTTGCAAGGCCCTCCTCCAGGTGATTGGGGGAGACGCTAATATCTGGAAGGAGGTCTTCCTTGGTTCCATGATTGGAGACTTTGACAACCAGCAGTTTCAGGAACAAAGCGCAAAGGTAGATGCCGAGACTCAAGCGCTAGGCGGCTACAAGAAATTGGTGGCAGCGCAATGTACGGCGCAGAAGACAGCTAATGCGTATGATTGTCTTAGGCGGAGCCATCCGAGGGAACCAGCTGGAAGTCTGTGTACAAAAGACCCGGCATGAGTGAGGATAAGAGCTTGGAAGCTGCGCTAGGCAGGAGATACTTGATGCTAGTCAGGCTGCAAGGAAGCCTTGTCTTGTGGTCTCTCCTGGCAGGCGTCGCTGGCACAGTCTGTAGGGCGCCACATCTAGTTTACGAGTTTTTCCGGCACAGATTACTGGAGGTATTACCTACGGTTACTGGGACCTAAGCTGCAACCCGTGTACTCGCTTGAATACTTCAAGGAAGCAGTAGCCCTAGAACAGGCAAGGGCCACGATCGATTCCAGGAGCGGGGAAAGGAGACCACCCGGCTGCATCTGTGGGGCCATGACCTTTGAGCTCTTCGAACTAGAAGCTCGAGATACTGCCGCAGGGCCCTTCGAAGTGATGCGCATTTGGAGTGGGGGTCTTGACCTTGAAGACCTAAGAGCTAAAGAAGAAGAATCTTTGCACCTTGCGGGCATTCTCCAACTGAAGTTTCAGGCTTCTTCCACCCTGACCGGTTCCGGAATTGCGTCTCATGACATTTGGGTAAAGGTGTGGTTTGGAGCCAAGCAGAAACCAAGGCGGGAGCTTGAGGAGGGGGAGGGAATGGTCAACGATGCTTGTTTTGTGTGTTGATCCGCGGACTGGGGTGCGCCGGAGCTGAGTCTTGCGGTAGAAGTCGATGGCATGTATAGCATAGCGATGACATAGCGGGTAATCATAGATCGTCTAATGCTGCTAGCCTACTGGTCAGGTAGATGTTCAGTCAATTGCACTCACACCCGCCGTGCAGATCCAGAGAGTAAACGTTCAGATGATATGAGGGGAAGAAGTGAGAGGATCGGGTGCCATGCTATCGCTAGCATGGGCCTCTACCTTTATGAATATGTGACGGCTGGATGCATATCATTACTAATGTTTTGAAGACGATAATTCTTCGTTTATATTGCAATCTGCAACGGAACCAAACGTGGAACCAAACGTGAATCAAGACGTGCTGAAAGATCCGATTTGATGGTTTTTTGTATATCAAAGGCGTGGTATTGATTCTCACCCTCTTTGCCAATCCCGCGTGATTGCAATTATTCAATTTAGGATTGTTCTATATCTATCTGGTTGCAATTCTGTGTATATCAAAGTTATTCACGAAATGCTTCTCTTGGAATGCATTCGACAGTCCAAAAGGGGCGACGAAAATGGTTGCTTGGGTTCCGGTCTATCTCCAGGCCGCGGCCTCCAGAAACTTGTAAAGCAAGTTCGGGATGCTATTACCGACGTTTGGCTGCCCGTGATTCCAGTCTGTGATGATTGACATAAACGACGGGTCAACGGGCCTGCCTTGCGCCGCGTAACTTAACCAATTGCAAATTCCAACAATGAGCACCGCTTAATGGACATGTGAGATTCAAGAGGATTGTTCTGAATTGCTCCATATGGTTATAGGAGCCGAGGAGTACGGGAGCGGCATGAGAGGAGCTTCGAAGATTTGCCGTTCGTTCATTCATCAGCAATATGCATATATGGCAGGGAGAACTTAAGTGCACTTGGCCACAATGTTGTACCACTGGTCATCTGATCGACCTCGAACCACTTTGCAAGTTCCATTCGCAGTTGTTATTCAAGGAAGTAGAGGCACCAAAGGAAGTGATTTCCGCAATCTCGTTCTCAATTTTTTTTCTTAAGTACAGTTCGCAGTCCATTACAAACCTGGGATGTGATGGACTCGAATCAAAATAGAGAGAGAGTGAGCTTGCATATTCCGCTTACATCGAAGCAGCCCAAAGTACTCCTACGAGCACACACACCAACGCTAAGATCGTGACAAGGCCGCTCGGTGTCTCGCAGTCAGCTGAGCTGATTTGGCGCTCTTGAGATACAACAAAGACTCGCCCTTCGCATTTCGGCGGTTTGCATCCGACCACGTTTTCAAATAGACTTGCGTCAAGTCGCCACGTCCAGGGCTTCCCTTCCGTTGACAACACCCTTCCCGGACGGCTGGTAACGGGTTTAAGAAACGTTTAGGTCTCCGTTGTGATTTTATTGTCGTCTGCGCATCGGCTGCCCGGAAGCGTAGCATTCCGATTCCGGTTCCTTAGTTCCGCCCACCGCTCAACCAGAGCCCGTTCTCTGGTGCCGGTTTTCATCCCGAAAGTAGCTGTCCCAGTATTTGGAGGAGCCTGAAACCGCACATAGATGCGTTCAGTCGTGCCGACGCGGCCAGCTTTGCCTGGTAGGATAAACCTGCCATCTGCTAGGTCTGATCTCTGCACCGGGGCTTGAGCATTCCAACCCAAAAGTACTCCCTTTACCCTGTAAGTGACCAGGTAAAGAGCCACGGCTTTCGCGCTTTTCTCAAAACCCGGAAGCGTGCGCGGTAGCTAATATTTCCATTCCCTGGACCGGCTTTGTTCAAGCTCGAAGCAGCCTGGGTCTTTTGGCGGTATGTGTCTGGATCTCACCAGCGCCAGCTGGGCATACCCCCCAAGCGACGCGATCGCGACCTCTGCGTTTAGCTCCGCCATGCTTTCGTTTCGTCGAAGCCGACCGCGTTTTGTTCATCTTGCTCAGAGGCCCGAGTCTCCAGTGGGGCGAGAAAAGCTGCCTCCGATATATCTTTGTTTTCCTCGACCATGCGAAGAAAGGACTTGCAAGCAAACGTGGCCCGCAAAAGGGAGAGAGGATCCTGCACCGCCAACTTTCTCAGAATGCACGTAACCATTTCGCCCGGAAGGCGCTCCATCGCTAAGCTAACCGTGAAGCAAACCTTCGTATTGATCTGGAGGCACTCAAGAAAGACAACAAGTTGTTTGTTCACCATGATCTCTCGAGCTATGTTGCATGAAGTGGGTGTGGCCGCGCGCCGGCGTCTTCAGGTGGTGCGCGGCCGCGGCGCCGCATTTCAAGCGCGGGCCTGCGCCGAGGGGCTTCGGGAGCGCGCTTCCCTCGCGGCCGCCACGGTCAGGCTCTCGAGCGCCACAGCCGCCGAAGCGCCACACTTCAACCACGTCGAGCTCGGAGAAGCTCTTTGACTTGCCCTCCAGGCTCTGGACCCCTGTTCCAAAGAGTGAAACTAAGACTAGCCTCTTCAAGATTCCGCCAACAAGTTGAGACTTTGAAAGGAGTGGCCACAAAGGCAGCGCGCGCGTGCGCGCGGAGGGCAGTATTCTGCGACCGATGGTTGCAACAGTCGTTGTGCAGTTTGTGTTGACTGTTCAACATGGCGCCCAGACAAACTACGAAATGATGTAAATAATGAGCCACGATGGATAAGTGAACATCATTAAAACCAAGACCATGCTTCGGTTATGCTGCAACGTGGTCATGCCGACTAGATATTGCTTGAAGGATGAGACGAATCATTAAATTTTCAACCTTATGCCAATATTTGTGCGGGTGGATCAGGATGGCAGACACGCAGCAGTCAACCAGAACGTTTGTAATATCAACTCATTCAGATCAAAGCCTTTCGCAAAGTCCTTTCGCAACGGATCTCTGCTCATGTGCCGGCAAGAACACCCCTGAGCACCCTCACTTTTGCAGAACAACATTTGGAATGAGCCTGGGGTTTCAAAGAACTTGACGTATGGTAACGAAGTAGGAAGCGACGTACGCAATTTTTTACATCAAGGCCGCCCAAAGTACTCCTGTCAGCATCAATATCAGCGCCAATATCGTGATAGCCCATTCAACCTTCCGGCTGGTTCTGTCACCCACAAATCCTGCAGCGGAATGAGATATCACAAAGACTCTCCCTTCGCACTTCGGAGGTTTGCATTCAAGTTCTTAAAAAGACTCGCGTCGAGGACCTCGATCCATGGCTTTCCCTCTATCGACGACACCCGACCCGGACGCTTGATTATAGGTTCGAGAAAAGCGTAGGTCTCCGTAGTGATGTCTGTGCTATCTTTGCCTTCGCTTCCCAATAGCGTATCGTTCAAAGTTAGAAGCTTTGCCCATCGCTCCGCTAGAGCCCGTTCCGTGGTGCCTTCCGTCCGGCTAGCATCCTCAGCATCATCTAGAACATCCACAGATTCCACAATGATGCGTGGAGGCTCGCCGAAACTTCTCCTCGGTAAGAAGATCCTGGCATTCTCTAGATGTGATCCCTGCCAAGGGGTGACAGCAAACCACCCCAAGAATAACCCATTCATTCTGTAAATTACCAAGTACCGAGCCACGACGTCCTCGTCTCTCCAGGAACCCGTGAAAGTGCGCTGTCTCCACGTTTGCCAACGTAACCCGAGCCGGGTTTGTTCAAACCAGCTCGAGTTTTCCAGCGCCCTAGTGTGCCTGGCGCGAACCAGCGCTAGCTGCGCGTAACCCCCCAGTGTCGCCACTTCAGCGTCAAGCCCTGCGATGCTTTCGTAGTCGTCGAACTCGACTGCGTTTTGTTCATTGTCCTTGGAGGGAAAGAGTCTCAGGCATGAGAAAAGCTGCCTTCCACATGCCTTTGTTTTCCTCGACTACGCGAAGAAAGGCTTTGCAAGCAAACGTGGCCCGCAAGAGGGAGAGGGGGTCCTGCGCCGCCAACTTCTGCAAAACGCAGGCAACTAGTTCGCTTGGAAGGCGCTCCATTGCTGGCCTCATTTGCAGACAGAATTGCAGATTTGACGTAGAAACACTCTAGATAGGCGCGACGTACGTAGTTTCTTCATTTCGTGCCACTCTTTGAGGCGGTGCGCGGCCGCGACGCCGCACTTCACGCGGCCGCCGCTGCCCGATTCAGGAGCGCGCTGCCGCCACCCGCTTGTCGAGCGCCACAGCCACCGAAGCGCCGTCTTGGCCCCGCTTGGCTAGAGCAGTAGTAATAAACCCCATCGAGCTCGGAACTTTGGCTCTGCAAACTCCAGAACCTAGCAGCTCTCGGGAATTTTAAACCAGCCTCACCAAAATTCCACCGATGGGTTGTGAGTGGAAAGAGTGGGCAGGGCGCGGTTGCGTGGCGCCAGAGGCAGCGCGGAGGGCAGCCTTCCAAGCGGACGTGGCCACAGTTCGCGGCCGAACCTCTTCAGCCGCGGCCGCCGCTTCCGCCGCTCCCTCTTGATGCAACGGTTTATAAAATCGATAAGCGGTCGGCGCGCCAAGGGGGCCGCGGCAACTCTTCCGACCGAGCTCCTTCTGGTTAGTATTATTCACATGCTGGCAGCTTATGACCTACCATCCCTGCTCGGCGCCCCCGATGCGTGCACGTTCTCCTCCGGCTGACCGGGGCAATCACCAAGTCTTGAAGGGAAGACGTGTTCCATTGTTCAAACTGAACGGCTCTGGCAATGCAGTGCAGACGGACTAATACGTGGCAAAGGGAGCGGGGAACACTTCTTGATTGGAGGGGATACGTCAGCCATGAAAGTCCGACACTTCCTCTTTGTCTCCTTCGGTACTGCGGCCGGCGCCAATCTCCTTCTCCCTACTTGCAAAGGAATAGTTAAGGGGTTCCGGCGGGGAGCATCGAGGTACGGACTCGCCGAACTGAAGCACTACGTTAAACTTAGATTGGAAGGCCATTTTTCTCCTTCCCTGACAGAACGAGAACGCGTCTGCACGTTGCTTGAACGTATGTACGTCGGACTGGTTCCTTAAGTGGGCGCTCGCTAGCGCTCGACAATTGAGTCTTTGAATCACGAAGTGCAAGGCGTCAAAGATTCCATGGTGAGAATCAGGACTCGGAGAAGGTCGGCCGCGATCCGACCTCTTACTTGTGTCGTATCCCTTGAGACCGACTACTGCTGAAGGCAATGGAGGTTTCTGAATCTTTAATCAGGCATTCCTGAACGAAAATCCTTCACAATTGGAAGTATCTGGATCCTCTGGACTGAACACTGCGGCTGGTGCTACAACAGGTAAGTGATTTGAAGGTCGGCATAAAGCTTATTCAACGGCTTAACAAAACGGATTGAAAGCCAGATTACATTAAATAAGTCTGTGCAGGCGGGCTATCCTCTGTGCCAGTGGTTGACTAACGTCCCGGACGCCCCTCGGGCTAGTGCGGACGTCGCCTCCTCGATGTCCAAAACCAGCGTCGGACTCATCAGACGCAGCACTCTGCAAAGCATCTAGATTTAGAACGTGGTCGAGGCCACCCTCCGACCTTAACGGAGTCATGGCGTTTGCCGTCATGAATTTGATCACTGTGTACGCCATACATCAGTCCTACCCCCTTGTCGCACCAGTAGCATGCCTTGCTAGCTCGAGTCCGCCAGGCTTGCAGAAAAGCGTAGAGAGACTTGCGTGTGGGTTGCTGATGCGAACTCGATTTGTTGGCACCAAGCAAGTAACTGCAACCAGCGCTGAGGGTATATTAAAAAGCTCGAATGCTGAGCCTTGCAGCTGGATCTACGGAACAAGGTGCACCGGGTTGAGTACTTGCTTCAAGGTGCCCACGATCTAACAATACCATATTAATCCAAAGATGTCTGATTGGTTTATAGTGTCTGCATCCACATGGTAGGAATCGTCGAGCTGTTCAAACTCGTATGCCCGCCCCTTGCTGGAGCGACTGATCTACCTTCGATGGCAGCGTGAGCTCGCTACGCGTGATCGGAGCCTGCGCAAGCGGGGGGCTGCATGTGTGGACCCTTGCCGCGTCAGTCGCAGCAGGGCCTCGGTCACAGTAACTGTTCGTACTAGCTGTGGGTCGCACCAGGTGCCAGCCACAGCTCGGTAGTCGACTCAAGGCGACTATACGCCCTAGATGTTTTGTGTGCAACATACCTCTTAATGCGAGCATATTGCGCTGCCAGTTGTTTAGTATAGCGCCAAGCAAATCATGCATCTCTGCATCCAGCTTTGCGCTCTGTTCTTCATACCTGGTCGCCAGAGGCTTCAATCCTTGGGCCCTGGAACACCTCCTCCGATACTACTCTCCAGAAAATGCCGTTTGCCCCGGTCACCGAGAGGAGGGCCTTGCGGGGCGCAGGAGGCGCTCAGCAGGGAGCTGGGCAGGTCCTGTCATGGGCTGCCAAATTGCAAATTAAAAAGAATATAAAGAATGATTTCGGACGGCGGGATCGGTGGGAAGAGCTTCCATGGCCCCCATCGCGCCACCTCGGCCTGTAGCTGTGCTGCAAACTCTGCTACCGCGCAGCACAGCTCGAATCGATCGGCCGCATGGCCGGCCATGATCGAAGGGGTAAGCGCGGGCCCAGTCGCGGCCGCCTAGCATCCAAGAGGCTTCGGCGGGGTTTCGAGCGGCTGAGTGAGCCTAGACGGTGGGTACTACTAGGTACGTTGAATCGACGTCCGGCAAGTGCACTGTGCAGTGTCACCCGACCGTGTGTGGCAGCGCGCCATAGGTCTGCACTGTGTACACACGTAGCCACGTGACCCCAGGGGCCCAGCGCCCTTTTCATTTGACGCCGCGGCCGCCCAGTGCCACGCTAGGCTAGGGCGGCCACGGCGGCACGAAAATGCATAATGCACTTGGACAGGGAATGCCGGTCCCCTTTGCAATGCCGCTCTAATACGAATCATCGTACGCCGAGGCCCGACTTACCGCTTGGGCCGTCCGATGGAGACTGGTAGCTGACTTTCAGCCGTCGGCCCGTTAATGTCGCCCGGGGGCTATAATCCGGCCAATTTACCGGCAAAACTTGACATTTGAACTTGCATGAAGTATTGGCTACCCTGCGATCATGACGCAAAAATCTCGCATGTGCGAACAATTCGGTACGATTCAAAGTTTTAAGAGAGATCCTAATTCCGGATACCGTACTACCAAGGTATGATTCCGAATGCTCAAAATATGCAGTTATTTTACGGAATGCGAGCCCAAATCTTGTATTAATTTTCAGAATCCGACCCTAAATCTGAATGAGCTCAAAGGTACCCAGGTACCCTGGTTTTCTCGCTTTTCAAGGGTGCCGGTACGTACCTTGGGTTCATATGGGCTTTGATTTTAAACAGGATTTAACAATTATTTTTCCTTTCCGAAAAAGCAGATTCCGACTGCTTATTTGCAATTTCCGACTTTCCGAATGCAAATAATTATTTATTTATTCGGAATCATACCTTGGTAGTACGGTAGCTATGTCACTCTGCACAGTGCCAGTAGGTACTTGACCACGTACTGATTTCTTCTACCTGCGCATTGCAGTTGTTAGACGTGATTCGCCTCTTGAAGTTCTCAAGTCTTTCCTCTCAAATAGTCGATGGGCATTCGAGCTGCATCGATTGGCGGGCACAAGGAAGATGCACCATGGGCCTCATGGTGCCGTACCGCAGGCATCTTTGTGTCGGCGGTCGTGTGTTGGGTTCCATAGCGGTCATTGGCGTCATGCTGTGGGCTCTAGCAGAAGACATAGACTCCGCAATCAATGCGTCTATCCTCCGCTTCCAGGGAAACTTTGTGCTACTCGCTGAGAGTTGTGAGGAGACTCATGCTCTGAATGACAGGTTTTTGATCAGTGCTTACCAAAAGCACCTGGAATGCAAGGAGTCGCAGGCAGCGTTCGCAACAGGAAGCGCGAAAGGAACAAAGTTTTTTGTCCCTGCTCAGCTGAATGAGCAGCTCAGCAAAGCGGTGGGCCATTTTGCGGACATTGCTGTCATTGGCGCAGCCCTGAACAGAACCCTTGTCCTTCCTCGGGTAGGGCAGGGGGAGATCAGCATTGACTTGGCGCTGCCATTTGGCAGCTACTTCGAACTAATGTCATTACGGGAGCTGGTATGGATCACAAGTGAGCAGCTTGTAGCTAGGCAGTCAGCTGGGCCAGAAAAGTTGACGGGTGCGTATGTTTTCCTGACACACGGCAGGTATGCCTGCTCGTCCATGTTGAGGTTGTTGCGGGTCTCTGTTCTTGCGGAAGCAGAGAGAATGGCAGAGACTTCAGACTACACCTGCTATAACGGCACTGATCTTCTGACTTCTGGGGACGATGTTCTAGTGAGAGGCAAGGCTGTGGAAGCTGCTCTTAGTGAGGCTTTGAAACAAGTGAATGTCGTGTTCCTGGTCAAGGAAGAGATGTATTACTGGGCAAGTTCATTGACAGAGAAAGTAGCCGCTATTGAGTCAAAATTATATAACCACCACCCGCTGTTCTTTGAGGATCTCACGACAAGATTCATCGAGAAACATCTGGGATTCAACTACTTAGCACTGCAATGGAGGACAGAGAAGTGCTTCCGGCAACCCCACTGCGATGGGGCTTTCTTTGGTGAGTGCAGCAAGGCAGCGATTGCCGAGGTCGAACAGATTATTAATACCCATCTACTGAAAGGCGTCTTCTTTGCAACTGACATGCCATTCAACAGCAGTTTCCACAAATCTAACTCTTTCCGTCCTTCAAACGATCAGCAACAATGGGGTCTGGATGTAAGGACTCGCCTCAAAGAGCGCTTTGACGCAGTTACTTGGGACGAGTATCCGGTGGTCGATACATTTGACAGTGGTATTCGAGGTCTTCTGGATAAGGTTACGTGTGCTCGCGGGAGGTACTATGTAGCAGCTCCAGATGCTTGCGGAGGGGGTTCCTTTGCATGGAGCATAGCACAAGAACTTCCTGGTTGGAAGTTTTGGTCACAACCGAGCTTGGGGAGGCGTTTGCTGAGCGATGCACCAGACTTCCTTGGCAGTGTAAGACAACACAGACCGCTTGTCAAATTGCTCTGATGGATTGACCGCTCTGTAGGGGATAAATACAGAAAAGCTTCGCCTTTGCTTGCCTTTTAGCTCCGGCTATGTGAATACTTAATCATCGAATGCGGACGCAGTCGGACCAGGCGGCCGCGCATTGATTCACTTTATACGCCTTGACTCATGACGTGTTTGCGGCATAATACACGAACGCAACGAGCGATTGTGTGGGCACATCTTGAAGCGCCCACTGGCAACCATGACGCATAAACCGCAAACTTATGCCGCGCGCCAGACCTGAGCTGTGGGCAAGCTGAGTCAATCTTGGATGCTTGTGTCGTACAAATATGCGCCGACTCGGATCTCTCGTGCATATCGGAACTCTTATAACAAGCAATAACAGCTGGCCGGCTACGCTTATGACAGCCATGCCTTCATGGTCCATCCGTTTCGAACGAATTCAGCATGAGAATGCGAATCAGCGTGTGTAGCAGGTTAGTCGAAGTATGCTTGTAACAGCCATGCAATTATGGTCCATCAGCTTAAATTAAAGTTTGCATGAGATTGCATGACCCAGCTCGTGTTTCACATTTGTCGACATGCCTAGCTGCATATGTGTCGGCTGGGCCAGTGCGCACGCTAATGGTGCCAGCCAGCGCCACCGAGTGTATATGCAGATGTAGCAATGTCGTAGGCCCGGCAGCTAGCTTTTGTATGACGTACTCTGCAAAGACGTCAATGTACATGTCAATTCTGCAAGCAACGACATGCAGCGGGCTAGGATTGAACGACATTCCGTCTTTTGAAGCGAGGATTAAATCCTGTTTCGGGCTTTGCAGGGATTGCCTACATAGCTGTCAAAAGAGTTTGCAGCAGTACACCTTCCGTGTTCTCTCGGGCCCTCCTCGGCGAATAGGGGCTCCTCAAGGCCAAACGCGCTGAGCAGATCCCTGCACAGTCACGTCAACAGATCAGCTGACCAACATACAAAGCTCCGACCCCCAAATATACCTGGGCGCGACCTCCAGAACTTTTTTCTGGTGTCGAACTGGGCTGCAAAGCGACAGAATCCCCGGTTGAAAATTTCGACCGTCTCAACCTGCAACGGGCCTGCACGTCGCTGGAAAAGCTGGGTTCTCACCATCAAACTCAGATCGAATTCCAAAGAAGAGCGAGCGACGGAAGGCCCCCGAGAAACACATTTGAAAACGTCACTAAAGCGAGTCCCGATTCTGACATTCAGAACTTTTGCAGGGCCGTCTGGGACGCTCATATGGGTTGTATGGGACGAGTCCTAAAATCCGCTCACCGGTGAACATAGAGGGCAGGTCATAATCCCCCGAAAGAGCAGCACCTCCACTTGCACGCAACGCTGCCCCGTCATCCCCGAAACGGGCTGTCAGACGAACAACTGCAGGGAAAAGTGAACGGAGAGTGGGCTTGAGGCGCACCGTCCGGGGATACCTAATGAGCAGTTAGTTAGCGAGATGTGCCTACGAACATTCAAAAGTCTGATGAACGCCGCAACCGAGGACAGATTTGGTTTGGACCAGATGAGAGACGGAGGAGGCAAACACTTTGGCGTCGCAGGAGCGTGCCATGTCGGACGGAAAACGCTGCTTCCATAAACTGCAAAAGTCCCGACAGCCTTTTTGACAGAACTCGGGTGCGACTTACGAATCTGCTCAAGAGGGTGACGTGGAGCACCACGTGCGTGCAACTGTACGTATCTCTGATGCTTGTTAAAACGCAATCCATGAAGCCTTCGTTCCTGAACAAGCAGGAAAAGGTCGAAGATCGTGGGCGGTGTCGGACAAGAGCCGGAGGCAGAGCGAGCAATAAGCCATGCATGTTGCATCGCAGAGATCGAGTCTGACGGACTTCTCGGTTGATTTTCGCTTAAATAACCAGCGAGAATTCCGGTGAAGTAGACAGGGAACCAGATTCGTTTTCGATTCGTGTCATCGGCGAACTTGATGAACCTAACTCTGCAGCAGGCACAAGGCTGATCACGTGACACACACGTCAATTGGTGATGGAGACGCGCAGTGGCAGCTGTGGTATATGGATGTGAGCATCGAACCAGGGGCGCTCATCGGGCCGGCAACGATGTTGCAGAACACTGCAACATCTGAACAAATAGTTGGAAATTTTAATCCACTTTGGAGCTCGACCCTACTGCTACAAATCTTGAAAGGCGAGATGCGAATCCGGGCGGCCTCGCCGCGGCCGCGACTCGCTCTGCTGGTGCGCTTTGCAGCGAGTCAAACCCTGTCTGCTTACGACGTATCGGCACGCGCGTGCAATCAGTAACGACACATTGACACATTGACATGCACCGTCTGTGACAGCAAGCGCTTCGCAAGAGCGGACTTCAAAGGTTGACAAAGGGCAAGAGTGCAGAGAGCCGGAGAAGGCTCAATGCGACCGATCATCGGAGCACCCGAGCTCGGCTTGACAGCCATGCGCTTTGACTGAGTACCGTTTTGGGTTCACATGCAATTCTCTACAGCAGGGCGCCTCCCGCACTCTTTCGGTGCCAAGGTGAAATAATGAGCCCCCATCCTCCACAATTAGCACGTCCGAATCCCTTCGCTTAGTTGCGCGCGCAATTGCGCGCCTCTTGCGCTGTTACAGCACCAAGCTGGTGGGATGATGGAGGGTCTTCCGAGCGATGTCGCGGCGCTATTCCTTCACAAGCTAGCGCTCCAGGATAACGTTGCTTTAGTGCGCGCCACGCGCGCGTGCGCGGCTTTCCACCGCGCCGCAGCCGCCGACCCTGCTGTGTGGAAGGAGGCACTGTATGGGCCGCCGATAAGCGAAGGCACGTCGCCCTCTGCTGAATTTGCGGAAGTCATAGGGCAAAGATAGATGCTTTTGTGAATGACCTGGGAGGGTATGAGCGCCTCGTGCGGACTCGGTGGTCCGGTAAAGTCTGCTCTGCAGGCTTTGACAGGGATTGCAATGGATATGACTCCGGCTTCCGCTCGAGAAGCAGCTTTCCAGCGGACTCCGCGAGTCCCTGCAAGGCCCTGGTCTTCGTGAAGCTGCGCGGAAATCTCTTGTTTTGGGGCGTCCGAAAGATGTACGTCCTGCCAAAGGGTGTAGCGGGAAACATGCGCGACGATGAATCCGACCCCGAGGATGACTTGGACTTTGTGTATCCTGAGAAGTCCGAATTCGTGACGGAACACAGAGCGTCTTTGAAGGAGCTGATGCGAATCAAGGGGGGCAGCCAGTAAGCCAGTCTCAGCGTGAACTCTTTACGATGGAAGTTTTTGCAGACTCGAGCAGAATCGAGACAAGAGGACAATCCATGGGCGGCCGGTTTGGTATAGCCTCAAGGGTTTTCCGCCCGATAGCTCTACCGTTCCACTTTGGCAACACAAGGTACATTGTTAACGTGCATTATTACTTGTGTGAGGTCGTGCAGCCTCCTCGCTGTCCGCAGGATTCCCTTATCCCGGACACCCCAATCTGTCAGATCTTTCAGCGATCTTCGACATAAGTTGGTTCTATAAACTGTAGGCAGCCGGCTCTGAAACACTTGATTGCACCGGAAATTGTGTAATCAGTGTACTTTCAGCTCATTCTTGAACCTTCTGCTCGAGCAAATCCGTGAAGCTCCAACCCAATGCAGCGGTCTGCCTCTGTACCTTTAACAAGAGACGTGTTCAGTCCCGAAGTTTAGTCAAGAAAACTTGTGCACTACGTACCTCCAAAACTTGAAAGATGCTTTTATCGTCGACTGAAGGGGCCGGCCATTATCAGTGGCAGTAGCCTTCTTGTCTTCTAAATGCATGAGGGTGACTCGTAGCTGATGCGCTGAGATCCGACAGCTCGATGCTGGACAACTTTGTGGACGTGCTCAAAAGCATGCAATCCTTGAATAAGTGTACGTTTTGACAGGAGTATATACTCTGATTGGCGGCCAGGTACATCATCTGATCCAGGTCGGTCGTCTTATTTGTGACAGCAGAACAAAGCCGCCTAGCTCTGGCGTGGGTTTGCATTGTTGGCTCGGGCCCCAGAGATCCTCGAAAAAGGAGCGGTCGATTGCCAGGAGGCTTTCTAGCACCCGGCCGTCTCTCCATGGTACGTCTGGTAATTGCACTGATCCAAGTTCATAGGAGGCCGGTGGGTGCGGCGGGGGTTAACCTCCAGTCAGCATTGAATGAATGCTGGCATGTGATGATGTCCAGCATTTCATAGCCGCATCGAATTGCAAAGATTTATACGACCGACTACTTTTAGCTCATACGGTTCTTAGTTCGACATTATTGGGATTAACTGAGCGCGCGCTGCATCATTGATGTCGATTGCGAGCCGGATGTGGCCGGATGGGGGCCCAGTGACCGGGTTCCTTAGCGCTGAAAGTTCGATAATGCCAAACAATACATGGTGGCGGCAGCCCGCCCGCTGGGCCCACACGAGTGCACCTGATGTTCGCTTCGTTTTTTGTATTGATAATTGTTTTGACGTCAGAAAGCAGACACACAGCAGCGCAGTGACGCTACCCGCAGGGATTCAAGCCTTGAAGCACTATAGCTTGAAGCACCATACTTCAAGAATCAATCTGACCCATCTTCTATTTTTCACAATGGTGTAGGGGACTTCAAAATTGCGTGGCCAACTGTACGACGTGACTAACTGTTTGTAACTTTTTGAATTTTGACAGTTGCGGTGTCTTCACGCACACTCGTAATTGGTCTCACTTGTGGACGTCTGTGGTGCATCCAAATTTCGAAGCTCTACTTCGTTCAACTATGTCGGACTAGGAGACTTCTAGCGAACTGTCAGTGTGATTATGGCAGTCGTTACTCATGTAATGATCAACTTGTGTTTTGGGTTTACCGTCATGCCCACGTACTTGTCAAAAAGGTTCTGCAGCGCTTCGATGTAGCGTGCATGGAAACTCTCCGCGCTCTCGCCCTCCTTGGCGAAGAGGGGCTCCCCAAATGCGATAATCAAATCTCTGCACGCATATCATAAACGCATCAGCAGAGAGCCGACCGACCTCCGAGGCTGCGACTTTAGACTCAAATCTAAAAAGCGTAAAAGGTCGGTCTAAAGAAATCAGAACGCGAAACGTTCGTCGATCCGGCCTGCTTCAGCAGGGATCGGAACAGAGCACTCAGTCCTGAGGGGGTGGGACCGAAGCAACGATTCTTCAAAGACGAGAAAGAAAAATCCAAAACCGCAGAAACGCAAGGTCCTCCACATGTAAGTGTTCTGGGCTAAGTATTCCATAGTTCATGTACGCTTGAGGATCGAGCGAGTTGGCACGCGAAATAGTAAGTATCAACGCTGTGAAAGATAACTTCCAGGCCCTGAGACATATAGGTCTAGCTATATGAGTGAATGGGTACGGGTGTGATTTCCGTAACCTTGATCTTAATCTTTTCATTCTCAGTGTTGCTGTTAGGTTGCGCGTCGACCGAAAACCTACTTGGCCTCCAGTGTTGCCTTTCAGTACCGGCAGGAAGGAGGTACGGCATCTTTCAGGCCATCGCACTCTCCTGGTATGTACCTTGGTTCACCACGTGAACAAGCCATCCGATTGGCTACAAAATCTGGAAAGCTTTTTGCAGCTTTTCGGTCGACGCGCACCCTTATTCTTTTTCTGGTAGCAAGCGCCATCGGAAATTGCTCACCGTTGAAACGGAAAGGGCAGGTGGTAGATCCCCCGGAAGAACGGCACCCCCACGTTGACGTAGCGGTTTGCCTTCTCCCAGAACTTGAGGAACCACAGCGGCTGGGACTCGAACAACTGCAAGCAGAGCAACGAACTGAGCGACATGTCGAGGCGCCACAGTACAGCTGTTTTAGAGAACACATGGAGTCCAGGGCAAAAGTTGCACCCTTGCAATAAACAGATTTCAAGGAGATGATCAGTTGCAGCACGAAGGAGGCACTCCAGTTGGCCAAGAATGCACTGTCCTCACACGAGCGAGCCACGCGTCGAAGCTACAGCGCTGTTCAAAAACAATGGCCTCTGGTGACAAAAGCCGAATGGACTTCCATGTATCTGGAGCATCGAGTGCAGATGAGTTTGTCTGCTGACTCCTCCGACCAGACTTACTAAGCACGCAATTTTCTGGAACCGTTGTTTCTGTGAAAACTCAAGAGAAGCCTGTCGAGTGGGAGTGGTGATATTGATCAAAGAAGGCAACAAGTTGCCAACCTCACATCAGCGCGTCGCGAGATTCCTTTGTTGGGGGTCTCACCGAATTCTCATTGAACAAATAGACAGGGACCACACCCGCGTTGGTCTCCATGGCGAGCTTGATGAAGCCGAGCCTGCCAGCATTCACATGCGAGACACGTGTCAGTTGGTGGAATGCACTGCCGTGGATGGATATGAGCATCAGGATCTTGGCCCCCAGATTGCACCAAGTTCACAGAAAAGTGCAACAGAGAAATGAGCGTTTCCAAAGTTCCTATCTTCTTCCGACGCTGCTACGAAGCACAAAGCAGCACGCTTCTGTGCACACGGTTGTCTTCCTCGTCTCTCGGCCTTCCTCTCGCTTGGATAGCTTCGAGTTTCCTGATTCCGGATACCTGGAAGCCCTCTTTCTGTCATATTAATGTTAGTTGTTTGGCATTGACCGCCAGGAAGTATGGAGAAAAGTTGAGCACGTGTCCGTTTGAAACTGTGACAATTCAAAAGTAGTGTCGAGCTCTCACCTCTTCTTCAGATACAGCACGTCCTTGTCGGGGTACGTCGGGATGCACACTTCCTTTACACCGCCCACAACAATCAAAATCTGCGGTCGAAGTGAAAAAGATGGAGCTATGTCAAATCGTTGATGTCTCTGATGTAAGAAGAACCGCAACAACTCTTGGCGCTTACCATGTCACTTCTGTGCTGGCCTGCCGTTGAGGTCAGTTTCGGATTTGGAGTCTCACTTTGTTCCTACCTACTTGCTCTCCATTTGAAAGATTCCCAAAAAGCTGGAATCTTGCTTGCACTCTTTAACATTTTGGGCGGAATCCTTCTCCAATAAGGTTCACTGAAGCTTTTTGCTGGAAAAGGACCGATTCATGAAACGCTGAGGTCAGCAATCATCCTTTCGACTCCACTTATCCCATGACTCTCTACCAAACAAGACAAGCAGAATATATCGATCAAGCGGCGCTGGTCCACCTCACCATCGCCTGAGATTCAAAAGTCATTTTTAGACAGTGTACGATCTAAAATTTGATGACGCAGCAGTTGTAAACCAGTTGCGCTTCTCCATGCAAGGACGCCAAATGATTCTCACATTGTTCCCCTTGTTGAGCTGCTTCTTAAGAGAAGACCTCCCTGCAGGAACTGCCCCCAAAGCATAGAACCAGTCTGCACAAACACAGGCCCGTTTAGATTTACCAACCAGTGTCACTACCGTCCGCCAATCTATGTTGCTGAGCACGAATTATCCAGAGCACTGCACAAATCACAGTCTTCAGCCCCTACAGCTCAATATTGTGCCTTGCGTCTCGTCATATTCTGCACTCTATCAGTAGTCTAAGCCTAGGCCTTTAGCATGGCGCCCCAAGCAAGCATGCAGATTGCCCTTCCACATTAGCTCCGCAAATACTTGAGAAGAGCAAACATGCATTCATGAAGCATGCAAAACGTCGCTGTCAATCTTTGAAAAACAAGCTTTGAGGAACTCACTACGGATGATTGGGACATTGAAGAACCCCCCCGCTGCGGCGCCAAACAGGTCCCCCTTGTCCGGAAGCACTCGCGTGAACACATCATACACCTGGCTAATCAATGATGTGCTGTACATCACTCTTCCGTGGGGGTGCACTCCCAGAATGTAACTCCGGTCCTCCGGAAAACGCTTCGCTGGCAGAACCACTTTGCTAGACTTTGCGTAGTGCGCCAGAGGGATATACACCTTTCTTAGGTGCTTCTGACGGAAGGCCCGGTTATAGTACGGGGGCACTAAGAACAAGACCAGGTTAAGCAGGAACCACACCACCCAAACCCCATATCCAAGCTGCCGGTACAGAAGGTACAGAGCGCCGTAGATGATGGGTGGTGCGAGGGGGCTGAAAATGAACAAGTGGTACCAGAAAAGGGTCATGATGGTGGAGAAAGTGCACGGGTGGCCGTTCTTGAGGTCGAGCACAACGTGATCTTCGGTTTGTTCAATGACTGGGGCGAAGTCCTCAGTCTTCATGTCAGCATTGGTTGTGCTGACGTCAGTCTTCGTTGGTGTGACAGCATTGCCATCCTGGTGCGCTCCTCTGGTCCGGCGCGTGACAGTTGCCATTGGTTAGGAAGGAAGGTTCTGCTGCTCACCACGGGTAGAGTCCTGGACTACGTGCCTTTCACACTCAGGCTGAAGGGATCCACCAAAGGAATCTATGAGAGGGACCCAGCTAAACTTCTTGTTTGGTGGCAAGAACCTGTATCAATCAGTTCCTTCTGACTAAGTACCAATACGAATGAGCAGAATCTGTGCCGAGCTGCCGATCAATCGCAGAAAACGGCCTGACTTTCGTGCGCTGCTATAATGGTAAGATCTAGGGCAATCAGCTCCTTGCGGCTCGGACGGCCCCCAAAACAAGTTGCCACCCTTTGAGTCGAACAGCCGGCATGAAAGATCCTTGACCAGTGAGTAACAATCCTTCTGCACTTCTGAAGGAAATGCTGATGGAGAAGCAAACAACAGTTGACATGCAGCAGCAAAGCTTCCGAAGTTCTGGAACATCTAGCTCCCCACAATGCAGCTGAGCTGGCGTCACTCACGTTGCATGCATTTCCGGCGACCTGCTCCGGTTAGCTCTGGTCGAAATTGTCGCCGCTTCACTTCAAGTGACATACAACAGGGAGACCTAATGACTCTAGTATAGGGTTTGAGACAGTTTGACTGGTTTTAGACTGGTTTGAGACTGGTTTTAGGGTTCTCAATTCTGGAACAATGCATGCAAGTTTCGCCTCCCGTTGGCCCCCCATCTTCTCCTTCTTGTCCAGAAGAAGCAAAGTGGAGCAAGTAGCATGGATTGAAGGAGGATGGAACGATCATGGGAGGAGAATGGAAGGATGGCAGCTGTTTTGAAAGGCAAGGCTTCAGAAAAGGAGATTCTTTGGCGCTAGCTTCCTGCTGATGCTCCAGTGCGGCCTGCATTTGTGAGCTGCCAATTGCCAGAGTGGAGCCGATGGTGTGAGCTCAAGCGGACTCCCACTGTTCAAAGCATTTATACTTGTAAAACCAGGTGAGATTTTATCTTGATGCTCTATTGGGTGACTTTCGAGGTTTTGCCCAGAGCACCCTGCCTCAATGCTATCAAGGGAGCTTGCCAGCACTGTCTCGCTTGTCATGCAAGCACTTTTTGAGGCCCTGCTTTTTCCCCCATTGCCTGTGCCTGTGTTGCTATTTGAGGTGAGTAAACAAGGTCATTGAAGGTTGAAATAGAGAGTGACGTTTCTGTTTCACTACTAGATCAACGGCATTGTTTTCAGAATAAAGCTTATTCCAAAAAGAGTTACAGAATCCCACCTCATTTTTTTCATCACGTCGATGTAGCTGAATACTCCTCCCCTTCCTGGAATCATCGCCCGCATTCAACTGCATCTCAGGGAGGTGCAGATAACTATGAAAACATACAGCTTTCAAGCGAGCCTCTACTTACTCAGCAACCCCACACTGCAGACCAGCCCTGAAAGTTTCCTCTCCGGTCCTCTTGACAGGGTTTCATAATTAGGTCCAGCTTCCTTCAAAGCAAGCTGTAACATGTCTTTACCCCACTCTTGGATTCCGAGACTTGAGGAACTAGGCACGGCGGTCAAAGGCGCCGCTTACCTTGTGGAGGCGGAGGGGGGTGAGCAAGGGCGGGCTGCAGGAAAAGGTGCGCCTGACTCTCAGTCCTCAAAACAGGACTTCCTATTTGAAGCGTCCTGCTCTGAATCTGAGTATGTGGGGAGCAAGGGCAGGCACTGTTTTAAATTCTGGGATGCTGCCTCAGAGTAGAAGGTATGCCAAAGATATAAGGAGCAACTGGGAGAGACCTGTTGAAAGCGTTGCTGATATTTGCCCTTTAATATCCCTATATATCTACCCTTGGTTTCTGACTTCTAATCTTCAGGATAGGACTGGAACGGCTTACGCGTAAAGTCCAATTGTGCAAGCCCCCTAGGGAAAGAAACGACTGGGGAGGCTATAGGGTCTCTGATCTTCAGTGATCAGGCAATTTTTAGCACTGGAGACCGCATTCTCGTCGCCGGGAGGACAGCCACCAGGAGCTTGTTGGTTGCAGTCGCTTCCTTCTTGACCTGCATCTGAAGCGGCAAAGCATAACCAAAACTCGTTTCTTGCACGTCATTTGGTTTTCTTTTTATTTCCCCTTTTTCCTTCGATGTATCTGACGCCTTACCATGTGTACTCCAGGGCTTGATGTATCGTGCATTCTAGGTAAGTCGCACTGAAGCCCGTTTTAGGATATTGACCGATATATGGGAACGCACAAACGAGGTCTGTAAATAGCCGTATAACCTTCCGCAAATCCAGTTTGCTTTTCTCTGTTGTAGCTGCGGTCGCCGTCATCCGGGCGACCAACGCCAAGCTGGCGGCACTTGAAGAGGAGTGCCGGAAGTTTCAACGGCTATATGAGGACCTGAGCAAGGGCGTTCGAAGGTGACGATGCTGTCTATGAGTTCGTTTTCGCCCCTTCTTTTACGCCGTCTGACACTTTTGTTGTGCTGGAGAACGTTTCTTGTGCCGAATCCGAAGGGGGTCTGGGGGGTCCCGGAAAACTGTACAAAACCTTGGGCATGGTAAATCACAGTTTAAGATCTACTTCTCGGCTCAACCATTCGCCCCTTGTTATTGGTTCGACCTTCGCTGCTTGACATTATTGCTCCACTTGATCCTGCGTCTGTGTTTCTCTGAGCGGAAGGAAGGGTCTGCATTCGGCTCGACCTTGCACCAAAATTTTGTCGCCTGCTTCAGTAACGCCATGATGCAAAGTGATCCAATGTATACAACAGTAGCAGATCCAATCAACAACAACAATCTTTCCAAAGTTGGTAGAGCACCCCTGAGCCTGTGAATCAACATTTTATGAGCCTCTGATACGAGAATTTCAAAATACCAATCCTTTCAAGTGAGATTGTACAAAAGGCCTTCATCCAAAATCTTTGATGAGACCCCCAGAAGTCCAATCTTCTGATGATCTACAAACGTAGGTACGCAGAGGCTCAGATGGAGGAGGCTGCAGCAGCGAGGCGCGCTGATGAGGAGCACCGAGAGGAGATGCAGTCCATGGTGGCGGCGATGGCGATACTAAGAAAGGAACTAGAGCGGGCAGCAAAAGACAGTGCGGCAGTCAGGGCAGCGGCGGCAGAGGCCTCCACCGAAGCGAGAGTAAAAGCGGTGAGAATCTATCAAGCCACGAAGCTCCTAGGTAAGCTTGTTAGAAGCGTGTGGAGCTCGCAGTCTGGAAAGTTGTCAGATGCGGCAAGCGTCGAACGAAGTATGCGGTAATCATGAGAGTGGAGGAGGACGGCATGGGGTTCTTTTAAAGAGGGCGTCAGTTTATATGTACCGTTCCGACTCGTGAGTTTCCGGTCCAACTCGCAAGCACAAAGATTTCTAGCACAAATGGGAAGTGCGCTCGTCCGTCATCGAGAAATCGAGCGATCGAAACTCGGTCGCGGCAAATTTTCTCCTTTTTCCGCACGCCGCGCAGACCGTACCCACACTGGTTTTCAAAAGCGACGTCACGTGGGCAAATTCGCCGTGCGATCAAATCTCACCGTACGCGGCTGACGTCAGGCGTTCCGGGTCCCAAGACGCCCTCTTTAAACGAAAGCCAAATTTGAATGCCATCATTTGACGAAGGCTTTGTAAGATGCTCCCTCTGCATTCTGTACACTTCGCTCTGCGGAGCAGAGAACTGGGCAGTAGGGACTTCGCTTGGTTGTAGCTCCACCTCTTAGTTATGACCCTGTTCATCGATCCGATCGTTTCGATCAGAATATACCTCATAGAGTGGTTTCATGATACGGACCGTTGCGCACGTTGACACCAGCGCAGGGAGAGTGGCTCGCTTCCCTCATCGAGCTTGAGGGTGTGCCGAACGATCCTTGGAGCCGCAATGATATATCCTAAAACTCTTGAGCTTTATTGGCGACTGCCTGCCCGCAGGAAGCGGCCGAGAAGTATCGCCAGCAGTACGAAGCGGAGCTCCAGCGGCGCCAGGAACTAGAGATGGCGAACATCAAGATGGCGCGTGAGGCGCTGGCGGTGCCAGAGAAGCTCCGCGCATTCGAGCGCGAGTGCGCGTCGCTGAAGCAGACGGTGGCGGTTTTGGAGGAGAAGTGCCGGCTGAAAGAGGCTACGTTCGTCGACGTGAGTGATTCCGGTCTCCTGAACTGGTGGAATTGACGCTGATATCTTGGAGTTCAGCTGGGATAGTCACGGCTTCGGAGTTGTTTGCTGACTCAATGTTTCTTCCGCGCCTCACTTGAACAGAGTGAGTTTTGCCTGCTGAAAACAATCGTTAACAAGATTGCACGTAGATTCTGGAAACGCTTGTATATCGATCCCAAGAACTCAGGTGAGCTCTGAAGCTCAGATGCGAGGGCGCTAGTCTTTAGTTGCTCGTGGAGGATTTTTCAACCCGTGCGTCGTTCATTCAACGATTACTCCTGTGATTCAGGTGTTGCTGAGCGGTTGTACATTGTTCAGGGCACTTTTTCCTCAAGGGTAGGGCATCGAAGAGGCTGACCTTGCGTCTAAAACTGAAGGAACGGTCACCAAAGTCGTGATGAAGCGCAAGGCGACTAAAGTAGCGAAGCGGCGAGTCTTAATCTGAAGGGCCGTGTTGTTTACAGGCTGACGATAGGGCTGCGAAGCTTCAGAGCGAGCTGTTAGAATGGCGAAAGAAGGGACTGGCCCTGGAGTTGAAGCTGAAGGAAGAGACGGAGGAGAAGCTGGTTGTGCAGCGACTCCTCGAACTAGAAAGGTGAGGGACAAGCGCGTGCTCTAACATGCTTGTTAGGAGGTAAAACGATACTTTTCAGTTAAGTGTAAGATCATACGGCGACTGCACGGGTAAAAGCTTTGCCGGAATCTTAGACCGCCATTAGCATGGAGCCTCGGGGAAGGTGCTTACACTATTTTCAGGAAAGGAGTCAAACCACGAGCGACCGGTCTTGTCTTGTCTTGTCTGCTCCAATCCATCCTCGCAGGATCATTGCAATGATGTTCCTTGCCAAAAAGCTCGTCTAGAATTCGTCGTAGCGGTCCTGTTGGCGGTCCATGTTCTGTGATGAAACATCTCCTGACCGGGTTTGCCAAACTTCCGAAATCCAAGCCACCTGATCCTGTCTCAGGTCTCGAAAAGTCGCAAGGGACGGAAACGTGCGACGAGAGCTGAGTCCCGTGGCTGCCGCCGTCGGGCGACTCACGACCACTTCCGAGCGCCAAAAGGCGCCCGGCAACAAGCAGCCTTTCTCTCACCCCGGCCTGACGTCAGAGCATTCTGCGGGCAAACTACGGGGAGCATTCGATGCCAACCGTCCTCCTTTCAAACCTAGCGGCAACCCTACTTCGCCCACAAAGACAGGGCCTCCCTCCAAATCAAACCCAGACTACCATTTCCCGGCTGCAGCAGAACCGAGCCTCAAAAGCCGAGCGGATAAAATTGGCCCCATCAGTGCAGTACCAGACAAGGGGCCCAGAAGCGACCTCGAAAACGCCCCCCTGACAGACGAGAACCGCCCAGGGGATCCCCCGGGGGCTCTGCAGCGCGAGGTGGAGAGAGCGGTTATGGAAGCGCTCCGGGCCGCAGAGGAGCGGTGCGATCGGGCGGTGGCGGCGGCCGAGGCGCGGGGGAAACAGGCGCTCGCGCAGGCGGAGCTGGACCGAGAGAGGGCGGTCAGGGTGGCGACCATGGATCTGGAGGCGCGGCTACGGAAGGAGTTTGCTGGGGAGAAGCGCGCCATAGCGGAGACGGCTGTAAGTTTCGCGTTTATATCTTTATGCAACCTTTTTGCTTCATCAGAATCTATCTTATCCGTGACGGGTGGGCGGTCCGCGGGGCGACCCTGGATCTGGAGGCGCGGCTAAGACGGGATGCTGGGTAGAAGCGCGCCATTGTGTGAGCCCCATTCTTCCCACGTGTCATAGAAGCTTGTGACAGGATTGCTCAATAAGGAATAAAACGCAAAATCAGCTGGTGAAACCTTCTCCTCAACGTCCGCTCTCCGAGTCCCTAAAGCCTTTCCAAGTAAGGAAGGACTTCCTTCTGGCTTCCAGAGCGCAGGATTGGCAACTACTGCTGACGGGCAAAGAGCGTAGCTTGAGCTGAGGAGCAGCCGGGCAGACTAATTGAAGCTTTCAAGTTAGCGCTCTCTATCCACCCCAATCTAGCTTCCAAACAGACCTCTTTCGACCTAACCCCGTACGATGTGTCTCAATTTTGTTGAGTTTTGAACAAGTAACAGGTCGGCGTAGGCCACACTGGACAAACCTGATCGCACAGGCGCATATTACCTTCACAAGTTCTCTAAATAAAACCGTGACCCTGACGCCACTTGAAGTAGCAACTTACGTCAGGCAAACTTTGATGCCTGCAGGCTGCCGAAGCGATGGAGGCCGCTGTGGTGGCCGCAGTGGAGGAGCAGGAGTCTCTGCACCGCCAAATCGATCAGCTGCAGGCCGCCGTCCGGCGGTACAAGTCGGGCGTCCGAAGCGAATCCGAGCCCGTCCGAACCGCGTCCGGCAGTAAGGCACACGTGGCAGCCGCTCGGAGGCAAGCCGTGCTGAAGCGGGTGCCGCTAATGGTGAGGAAAGATGGGAGGACTGGGGTCGGGAACGGAACGGAAGGAGGGAGTGTAAGCGGAGCGGAAAAGCGAACGGAAACGGAAATGCAAAGCAGGGGTACGGGTCAGAATCCCAGAGTCGTCGTTACTGAGGTCTTCAGGAAAGGGAGCTCGGGAGAAGAGCCGGTGAAACAGGGAGCGAGGCCAAGGCGGGAGGAGCTATTTCAGCGGTCGGATAGCCTCGCCAACGAAAACGAACGGCTGAGAAAAGCTCTCGACAAGTGCGTCGCTGGGCGGCTTGTTCGCGACATCGGTCAAACTGTTCAGGCAACGAACGGCGATGCGACGCTGAGTCCCAGGGGGATGGCGTACGTCCAGTCAGATGACGACACGTGGGACTCGGACGGGGAGCTTTCCGGACGGTTCCTGCGAGCTGAGGCTTCGGACACCGTTGTGAGCGGTGCGGGGACAGGGTATGTGGGTCGGTCCATAAGAGATGGGGCCTCGTCTGCACGAGGTCGTGGTTCGTTGGTGAAAAGTGGGGATACAGCGCCCGCGCGGCAAGGAGAGGGCGGGAGATTGAGCAGAGTCCCTCTCTTGGAGAGGGCGACCAGACGGGCCGAGATCAGGGCAGCGCTGGTCGCGGGAAGAAGGGTAACGGAGAGGGCGCAATCTCCCCCGCAGGTAAGGCAACTTTTTTTCATAACCCTAACTGTATCCTAGTCGTCTTATGCTTACCACAATGATCCATTATTTCAATCGCCACAGGTCGTACGACCCACTTATGAGTCTGTCGGCCTCCGAAGCAGTTGAAAGAATTGTTCGGAGGCCAATCCCATCCATTCGAGGCTGTCCTTAGATGCAGCTGTGATGCGTCTAGCAATACCTTCTCGACTAAGGAGCGGCACTGGGCTCTGCGGCCCGTTTGGAGCACGATTGCCGTCAGGATTATAATACTGCTGCGACTCGAGGAGGGTCGTAACCTTTTGTCAGCTTGACAAAATGAGGTCGTGGACAATTCCAATGGTCAAGGCTCCATTGGACTTTCTTTCTTGTCCTTTTCGTCAACCGGCCTCTTGACTGCCAGCTCGAAGGGCTGATTTATTGTTATTGGCTCTTGCATCTGGTACTAGTTCTAGAAACTTGTCGTGTACTGTTTGTTTGCAGAGAGATCACCTGTGAGAAATACCTGCCGGGTCAGTCGTGGCTTAGCGCTATCTACCACGTTTCCGGCCGTGAAAATACAGGTGCGTGCTAGAATTCTTTTGTCGATCTTTCGTACCTGCGAAGCACAGGCCTTGCGTAGGAAGCTTATATGCCCCAGCTCCGTCTCTGTTATCCCAATTGTGTCCAACTTTAATCACCACCGGTGTCAGAAAGAATCCAACCCGCGAGTCAAGGTCGATTCCTTGTCTGCAGTCTGAGCATATTGTCCAGGGCACATGTGCTGACTGGTTTCTCATTAGTTTCTGTGTTCACGCCTGCAGGAAGCTTCGTTCTGAGCACGGAAAATGAAAAAAAAAATGAGCCATTTGGTTCTCACTGCATGGCCAACCGTCCCCTTGTCCTAACGTGCTCTGAAGTTTCCGGACAGATCTGGATCTCGCTGAAGGGGAGTCGGTTTCAGCAAGGGCGTAAAAGGCTCATGTTGTCAAATTACCCTCGCATTCAAGGTGACTTGGACGCTCGACTCCAGGTCATATGCGCCATCGACCAGCGTTGTCGACATGTCTGGATTCGATTGAGACCATGGCAGCCAAGCAGTTGAGCCAGCATGTAACAGTAATAGGAGTTAGCCACTGGGCCGACGATCCGTGGTATTCACTGGAGGTCACTGAATTCGGGGTGAGTCTTAAGAGCACGTGACGCCAACTCAAACCACTCGTCGGGTCGAGTCAGTCTAGCTGGCCAACATTGCAAGCTAAACCATCCCAATACGGAGTAATATCTAGCAAGCCGGCTAGACGTTGCCAGATTAAGTCGTACTGTGGATTGACATGATCATTCGCATCATTATGTGCCATGTTGCCATGATAGTGCATGACAGTGCATGATAGATTAATGAGTGTTGATGCTACCATATACACGATTGGCCGGCCAGGCTCATGGTATGACATCATTGTCATGGACTCAATCCGCAATTTAGCTTAATGGCCCGTGCGTACACGTCGGCGCAGCCGGCAGTCACTACCCTTGTTGCACGTTCTCAACGTATCCAATACAGAATCCAGCTAAAGGATCACAAACTCGCCTTGCGCTTTGAGGTTTGGGAAGTGGACCCAAAGCTTTTGCCGTAACGAATCGAATTGTCTCTAGTTTTTGACCAGAACCATGATCTGGCATGCTATACTCAGTGGAGCCTGTAAGGCAGCTTTGCCACCTTTCAACAAAGACACCCGGAATAAGCTGGCTGCCACACTGTTCGCTAACAGAAGTGGATCAACGACTTCCAAAGCTTTCCTTCGAATGGAGGGCGTGTACTGTTGACGATCACGGCTGGATGTTTGATGAAGAGCATCAACGACCATCATTTGAAGATCTGTCAGCTGCTGCCAGGCGGTCCGCCTTTTCCTGCTCTATGGCCGCCCTGGTTTCTTGCGCTAGCCTCCTCCACTCCTCCCCCTGCATAAAAGAGGGAGTAAGATACCAATTACTGCCATCATGAGCTCAAAGAAGAAGCTTTCATAGTTGCAAGCAAAAACACGACCCAGTCAGCAAGACCGACAAGCTGTCAATTGCTGGCAGTGTCATACAGCCCAGGCAGTTCATGGCCTCCCAAGTATGAACTCAGCTTGCCACCAAAACAGTGACGTGGTGCCAATGATGACAGCTCAGCTCCAATCACAGAGATCTTAGACATTTCCAGATTCCCAATGGTGCCGAGTTCCTTACCCGAGTCAAGCCCGCACACGTCAAGCCAGCAACTACAATCGCTGCTCCGCCCAGCACATACAAGCTGGCAACACTGAAGGCCCTCGTGGGAAGAGCGTGCGGGTTGTCTCCCAAGCCCTTCCGCTGCAGACGGCGGGCCCAGGCCCATTGTCCAATGCCGGCTGCTAGCCAGCCACCGGCTGCTGGATACACTGACCACTCAGACTTGTCGGCGCTTCCTCCTGAATGCAAAGCCATCGCGCTCACGGTTCTCTTGAAGAGCGAATCATCCTTGCGCCTTGCAATGTATGACAAACGCAGTGGACGGGACTAGGTAGCTCTTTACTATCGTAATGCCGCTCCTGCCCGCTGTGAGGCTGAGCCGCCAAGGAGAGCGGCAACACGAACGAGGGCTGACCTGGAGAGCAGGATTTGCATTTGTTCTTCACACGCAAAACCTGGAGGCTGAACCACAGCAAGCCAAATGAAGTTCGGACTAAAGTCTGAGCCTATCATAGAGTGCCACGTCATACCCCCCGGGATCCAAAAGAGTGAAGGTGTCTGGAACGGTCGTACCAGGGGTCGAAACCTGGAGTGTGCGGACCCAAGTGGTCCCAACCAGTCCGAACTCGATCACCGGGCA